GGGATATCGGCTGTTACGAAATGTTTCAACTCCTGTTGATAGGCCGTCTGGACAGATCGGCCTAGTTGCAGCTCAACACACGCATGATCTAATGAGGGTATGCTGTTATTATCCATTTTTTTTTTCTTAAAACACCTGGCTTATTTCTTCTACATTGTACTTGTTTATAGGCAGTTGCTTCTGGAACAGAGTTGGTTGAGATGTATAGGTTTTATCAAGATAAGTATCATCAGAACACGTCTAACCAACAATCTCTGGAGACAGCTTTGAAGAATGCCAAAAGGCTCTTGATGGAATTAAGGTGATAAAGGCAAAAGATGATGCCGAATTGGCTACTCTGCGCTAGAAAGTTGAAAACATGAAAAATCTTGAAGAGGAGATAAAAGATCTTAAATCCCAGCTTGAAGATAAGAACGTTGTAAAGGATCAACTTTCCATTGTACAGAGTGATCTTTCTAAGGCTAAAACAACATCAGCAGCTTAGAAGGTCAGCTGCAAAAAATAGAGGCCGATAAACCTGGTATACGGAAAAGAGCGGTTAGCCGTTATTTGTCATCGGCTGAGTTTTGTAGTAGATTACAATATCGTTTTGATGGTGGTTGGACTGCTGCTCAGAGGTGTGCTGCTCATGTTATTGGTCTAAAACAAGAAGACTGGGCTAAGATTGAAGCAGCATTTAATAATGATGCTCACAAGACACCTTCTGGTTTTGAGCAACAAGAGTTCTCAGACGCAGATATCTTTAACCTTGCTCCTTCTGATGATATCGGTGTTTCTGATCCTAAGATTTTGGATTCTCCGGAACCCGAAAACAAAACAGCTTAAAGGGGCGGGCAGCCATCACCATCATCTTGTGGCTCTTGTATTATCGGGCCTTACTCATTGTAATTTCTTTTTTGATTATGTAATTTTTAGAAAACTTTCTTTTGACAATGTTGTTTTATCGGCATATACCCTTTTGCGGTGATGTCTGTCGATCTCTATTTTAGCTTTGCCAAAGAATTTCTTCCTTCACGATGTTATATTTGTATACCTATTATGTGATTCTCGTAAACACTACAACTGTGTTAGTTTTAACTTCTATTTAATTTCTATTGCTTTTAATCACTCATTTCGGAATCAATTTACTTTAAATAATTCGTCCATTATACTTATAAGTATAATGATACCGACATAGCCCCCTATTAAAGCTGTAATATCAGGTTTATATCGGGCATAGTATAGCCCCTCATTCTTCCCCGCATAGTGCAGACATCATTTTCATGATGTATATACTTTCACAATTTTTTATACATACGGCGGTAGTTTGTTTTATAACTCATTGGTCACTTGTGCAACTATACAACAGTTTCGCAAGTACCCTTATCGGCTATCATGTTCTAGCTGCGCCTCATATTGGCGCATACTAAATAGTGATTTGGCCGGGATATTATATTGAACAACAACCTCGTTATTTAACGAACACAACTGATCAGGTTGTGAGAGCGTTATCATCACGGAAGTGGTTTTTAGCTGTCCATCCCAATTAACAGTGATCTGTTAATTGGAGGATGCCTTTAAACTTAAATTGTAGAGTAGATCATTGTTTTTGATTTTATTTATCACTATTATCATACAAAATACTTCGATTGTACCTTTATATTATACATAATATTTCTTAAGAACTGCAGTATTCCAGACATTCTTCAGCGGCTTTCCGTCTTCAGTTTCTAGATAAAATGATCCTTGCATAACCATGTCTCTTATTCGATATGGACCTTCCCAGGTAGCCGTTAACTTTCCATCTTTATTACCCTTTCCTGTTGCTGATGTTCGTCTCAATACTAAATCTCCGACCTCTAACGGTCGGAGGTTAACCTTCTTATTATAAGCTCTTGACATTCTGTTTTTGTATGCGGCCGATTTAACTGCCGCTTTTTCCCTTACTTCTGGCAAAAAGTCTAACTGTTGTCGCAATAGTAGATCATTTTGCTCTTCACAGTAATGCTGTATTCTGAATGTCGGCAGACCGACCTCGGCTGGTATAACGGCTTCTGTTCCGAAAACTAAGTGGAAAGGGAATTCTGCTGTTGCTTCTTTAATTGTTGTTCTATTTGCCCATAAGATCTCTGGAATCAAATCTTCCCATAACCCTTTGGCATCTTCGATCTTTTTCTGTATTTCCATTATTATCTGCTTATTAGCTGCTTCTGCCTGGCCGTTCGATTGCGGATGACAAACTGACGCATATGCAAATTTGACTTTGTAAATTGTTAACAAAGTTTTTACGGGCTTGCAGTCAAACTGTGATCCGTGATCAAAAACCATTGCTCTCGGAAAGCCAAATCTTGTAAAGATATTTTTCCAAATGAACTTTCTAACTTCTGCTGCCGATATTGTTGTTACCGATTCTGCTTCGATCCATTTGGTGAAGTAATCTACACCCACCAGTAGGAACTTTCGATTTCCAGTTGCTGACGGAAAGGGACCAACTATATCCATCCCCCACTGCGCAAACGACACCAGATTTAATATCGACGTCAAATCATTTGGTGGCCGGTTCAGGATAGGTGCAAACTTTTGATATTTTTCACACCTTTTAACATAATCGGAAGCATCTTCATTCATTGCTGGCCAGTAATATCCTCGTCTCATTATTTCTCTTGAAAGAGCTTGTCCTCCTAGGTGATTTCCGCAAGTTCCTTCATGAATCTCTTCAATTAGCTTTGTAGATTCCTCTGCTGTTATACACCTTTGTAATGGGAACGAGAACCCCCTTTTATAAAGTTGGCCCTGGTACAGTATGAACCATACACTATTTTTTTTTATTTTCCGAGCTTCTTCTTTCTCTAACGGCAAAGCCCCTGTCAGTAAGTATGTTAGAATTTTGTCATACCATTGCCCCCCCAGCTGAATACATTGAACTTCCTTTGCCGATTTATCTATACTTCTCTGTTTCAGAACTTCTACCATAACAGTTCTTTCCAAGTCATTAAAACTTGAACTGGCTAGCCTTGCTAGAGCATCAGCCTGGGAATTTTGTGCTCTCGGCACTAATTGAACTTCAAAATGTTACAGCTGAGCTGTAAGCTCATTTATTTTTTCCAGATACTTTATCATCGCCAATTCTCTTGCTTCATACTCCCCACGAAACTGACTAGAAACCAATTGTGAGTCGGTTTTGAGGACTAACCTCTTTGCTTCTGCCGCTATAGAGAGCTGAATACCCGCAATTGCTGCTTCGTATTCAGCTTCATTATTTGTAGCTTTGAATTTAAACTTTAAAGCATACTCAAAAACCTCTCCATTCGGGGCTGTTATCACAATACCGGCTCCAGATCCCATTGAGGTTGCTGAGCCATCTACTGATACCTGCCATGTTCCCAATTCTTCCTCTTCATCATTATAAGAGGTTTCTACAACAAAATCTGATAGGGCTTGTGCTTTTATTGACATCCTGGGTTTGTAATACAGCTCGTATTCCGATAATTCTACAGCCCACTTCAATAACCTTCCCGATGTATCCATTTTCTGCAATGATTTTTCCAATGGATGATTTATAAGAATTTCTATTGGATGTGCATCAAAATAAGGTCGTAATTTTCTAGCAGCAATTACGACAGCAAAAGCCATTTTTTCAATCACTGGATATTGTCGCTCAGCAACATTAAGGATATGACTGACAAAGTATATCGGCATTTGCTGTTTGGTCCTCTTAACTATCAGGACTGAGGCCACTGTTTTTAGCGATGCCGATATATAAAACTGTAAGTATTCTCCTGGCTCTGGCCGTGCAACTGTGGGGAGAGACTTCAAATGGTTTCTTACCACCTCTAGAGCATCAGCTTGATCTTTCCCCCATTCAAATGTCTTGTTTTTCCGTAAAACTACAAAAAACGGAAGTGCTTTATCTGCCGATTTGCTGATGAAGCGCGTCAAGGCTGCCATTCTTCCTGTCAATCTCTGAATGTCTCGAATTGATTTAGGTTGTTTCATTTCGAGAAGAGCGTTAATTTTATCTGGATTTGCATCAATGCCTCGCTGGCTAACCATAAATCCTAAGAAATTTCCAGATCGGACTCCGAAAACACATTTTTCTGGATTGAGCTTCATCTGATATTGCCACAAAGTTGCAAAAGTCTCCTTTAAATCCTCTATGTGATCTTTTTTCAGCTTGCTTTTTACTATTGTATCATCTACATATACTTCAACATTTCGGCCCTTCTGATTTGCAAAAATTTTATCAACCAGCTTTTGATATGTCGCACCAGCATTCTTCAGCCCAAACGGCATTGCCTTGTAGCAGTATACCCCGGCTTCTGTTATAAAAGTCGTTTTAGGCCTATTCGCTTCATTAAGGCTAACCTGATGATATCCAGAAAATGCATCTAAGAAGCTTAGCATTTCATGGCCAAAAGTCGAGTCTACCAACCTGTCTATTCGAGGTAACGGATAACAGTCCTTAGGGAAAGCTTTATTCAGATCCGTAAAATCCACGCACATCCGCCATTTTCTGGTTGGCTTTCTAACCATTACAACATTTTCCAACCATTCTGGATAAGTACACGGTTCTATAAATCCTGCCGTTAACAGCTTGTTGACTTCAGCTTGAATGGCTTCAATTTTTTCTGTGGAGAAGTTGCGCTTCTTCTTCCTTACTGGTCTGAACCTTCGGTCCACATTGAGCTTATGCTCCATCACTTCTGGGTGTATGCCTGGAATATCACTTGCCGAGTAGGCGAATACATCCGCATTTTCTCTCAACAAGCTGATCAGATTGCACCTCATTTCAACGTCCATATCAGCCCCCACCTTAACTGTCTGACTTGAATTTCCTGGTCGGAGCTCTACTTGCACTGTTTCACCTCCTGGCGATGGTCTCGGCATAGTTTTCGGCCTAGAATCAAAATTTTCCATCGACAAATCTCGCACTGTTGGTTCTCTTGCCCGCTTAGGGTTGTTTGGTACTTCTCCTTTCTGCCCCGGATTTTTTAACGCCGTGACATAGCATGACTTTGCCATCACCTGTCCCCCATGTACCTTTTCCACAACCTCTCTATTTGACATATAAGCAATATTAAATGATAAGTTGATACTACTGCCTGTATGTCATGAATTATCGGCCTTCCCACAATTGCATTATACGCCGACGGTACATCCACTACTAAAAATTCAGCCATCGCATCTCTTGTCGTTGTACCGTCTCCGAGTCTAATAGGGAGAACTATACTTCCTTCTGGCCTCACTGTTGAACCGTTAAACCCAATCACCGGATATGATACCGGCGTTAAATATTGTCGGCCTATCATCAACTCATTGAAGACTTGCATAAACAGAACATTTGCTGAGCTTCCTCCATCAACTAGAACCCTTTTCACATCGGCCCCATTAATCTTTGCTATTAATACAAGGGGATCATCATGAGGAAACACTATTCCTTTTGCATCTTCTTTGGTGAAGGTTACATTCGGAATTTCAGACGGCTGTGGGCGATCAGCAACATCTAATGCATTAACAATGTGCCGATACTCCGACAGGTGCTTCCGTGCTCCACTTATGGTTCCTCCGTGAACTGGTCCACCAGTTATTACATCAACTCTTTTTCCAGTAGATGACGGTGGTTGTCCGCCTTCCCCCTGTCGGTTCACTTGACCTTGTCTTTCTGACCGGTATTCTATCTGTTGACGTTCTGGTTGCCTATATTGTTGTTGCTGACTTTCCCCAGATTGCAACCGATATTGCGTAAGGTGCCCCCTTCTTATTAATTCTTTGATATTATCCTTCAACTGCACACAGTCCTCAGTGTAATGCCCTACATCCCAGTGGAACATGCAATACTTCTTGGTATCCCTTCCTTTTGCTTTCATCGGCACAGGTCTCACCCATCCTTCTCGGTTCTGATTTATAGAATATATTGCAGCCCTTGGTGCATTTAGAGGCGTATACGAATTATATCGCATTGGTGCTTTGGTTCCTCTGACCTCTTGGCGGCTTCCCCCTCTTGCTGCCGTTGGGTTCCTTGACCTTACAACCCTTGAAGATCCCCCTTTCGACATAGGGTGAATTCTATCAGTAGAACTTATTCGGCTGCTTGTCTTCATTAATTCTTCACTCTTAATATAATTATGAGCTTTATTAAAAGCTGCGGCTAATGTTGGCTGATTTTTTCGAGTTAGGTATCTCTTGAATTCCGAATCATTCAGACCATTCATTAGTGCCATGACTGCTATCTCCTGCTGCAATCTTGGAATTGTATTGGCTTCATTATTAAACCTCCTTATGTAATCCCTTAAAGATTCATCTGCTTTCTGAGTAACAGCCATTAACTCTCCAGAAGTTCTCTGCCGAACACTATTACTGACATACTGCCCTACGAACATTTCGGCTAACTGCTGGAAACTGTGAACTGCTCCATTTTCAAGATTATTAAACCAATCGGCTGCTGCTCCAACCAAAGTAGTGGGAAACACCTTACACCAAACGGCATCAGAGTTGGTGTATAAAATCATGTGACCCTCATACGAGGTTATGTATCTTCCTGGATCTCCCCTACCATCATACCGACATTTCGGCATTTTTATTTTCTCCATTGGTTGATCAAGGATGATTTGTGCAAATGTTGATGCCCTCAACTGAACTACTCTTCGCCCCGCTCCTTGCTGGAAAGTTCCCGTACTCTCGTCCTGAGCTGAGGATCGAACCTCTGATTCCCTAGGGGTTTGCTGGGATCTTGTCGGCGACCCATCATTCCGGCGTCTTTGCGAACTTCCAGCCTGGTCAAATTGATTGCCATGAGCTGTAAAAAGCATCCCTCCTCCATCTTGGGTTGCCCCTATTTCTTTTCTTTTTCTGCTCATAACTGTCATTACCCTTGCAGCTGTTTCCAACTCTTCTGATGTAAATTCTTCCATAGGGTCTATATCTGCCGTAGCCTGCCTTTCAGGGGTTAACGGCATATGAAACTCATTACCCCCCAACGTATGAGTCTCATCCTCGATCTGAATTTCAGGATCAGGCATATTTTATATTATTTATATTATATATATATATATATATATATTTATATTTATATTTATATTTATATATTTTTATCGGAAAGTATAAGGCTCTTTCAGGCGATAGAAGCTATTAAGTAGCTCCCCTCCTTCTAGCGCCAACTGTTTCTGCAGAAATCCGACAACCCGAATTCAGGATCCGAAGCTCGAGTATATAACCCGTTCTGCTCCTATCGGTCAAATAAGAACCTACACAAAGAGAAAAGATGAGCTAGCCCCGGGGTGAATCCGGGGATAACCACTCCAAAGATTAAATCAGTAAGTGTTTATAGAAGAGAAGTGATTTAGAGAGAGAAAGTAGTGAAAGAGAGAGAGAGAAAGTAGTGAAAGAGAGAGAAAGTATATTAAAATGCTACCTTGTTTATGAAGTAAAATCGGATTATTTATATGTTTACTAGGTGACAGATGGCAGTCTAATAAGTAATGTAATTTCTGCCACGTGTCAATTGTGAGCGCGACACGTGGCAGCTACCTATATGCTGATATGTCTACTTTATAGGAACGCCGATATTAACAAAGGCCATTTATGGATCAAATTCAATTCGTATGTCGGTATGTCCAACCATATCGGCCCATTATGATTTCCGTTATGTAGACATTTCCCCATACAACAAATATCGGCCCATTATGATTTCCGTTATGTAGATATTTCCCCATACACATACAACCCCTTCTCAAGGGCTTTCCAATGTCAAGATCAATTTTAATTCTCATAGATTCATCCCACCCCAAAGGATCAGATCTCAGAGTCATCATAGTTTAAAAAACCTCCCAAACTTTCACCTATCTCGTAAGCAAAGGCACGATTACGCCTACTAAAGGGAACGTCCATTAAGTGAATCCAGAAAGCATCGAATAAAATTGATTTCAGAAGGCTGTTTATCACCTTCCATCTCTTTGAGTAGTAGAACTTGGTTGTCAAAAGTCCAAGGTCTACCCTCCATCACTCGTTCTTTATCATCCTCACAGTAAAATTGAAAAACAAAGAGGTTCGTTTCGACAACGCGAACAGCCATACCTTCCTTTAGTTTCCAGATTGAGGTGAGGGTGCGCTTCAATGCTTCAATATTGAAAGGTCGAATCGTAAGCAATCTGCCTATGAGAGATAGAGATATTTGAGCCTCAGCACTCTCATCATGAACCTCCTCCAAATCGCCTCCAATAACAGATGTTTCCTCCTCGGTGAAGGATAATTTCTTCCAACCTTCAATTAATTCGTCTTCCATATCAAGAAATTGACAATCTTTGTATAAGATTTAGGGGAAATCGTATTAATTTCTATGAAAAACGCACTAAAACTCACGAACAACTCTCAACCCTAGCTTAAGGACTCGTACTCACCCTAAGCAAGGGACTTTAATTCAATCAAGAAATTATTATTATTATTATTATTATTATTATTATTATTATTATTATTATTATTATTATTATTATTATTATTATTATTATTATTATTATTATTATTATTGATTTATGTTTAGATTTTTAATAGCTTAACTACAATAACTAGTATTCCTTTCCTTTCAAAAAAATTATAAAAAAAACCTAGTATTGGCTCGGGCGATGCCCCGTCTCATCATAAATTTATAAGTTTAATCAAAATTTATTTGAACTCATTTGGAAAGATTGCTAGCTTCTTCATTATTGCCTAAAATTAAAGTATAATCAATGATATTATGGATAGAAATATTAATACTTAATGGTTAATATATTATTGATAAACAAATCACAACTTCTTTTGTTTCCAAAAAAAAAAAAAAAAAAACAAAACAAAACTTCTTTTTTAAATGATACTTAAACATTTATAAGCACACAATAATTATCTCACTAGATAACAAGTAACTTGATATTAAAGGCTATTTTCAATAAGAACTTAGATCTAGTAAATTGCGAGAGCCTGTTAGATCTATGTTGGTTAATAAATTGCGAGAGCCTGTTAATCATGTTATTTATGCTATGTCAATGATTGATTACTATGTTTTACCCTGGAGTATTATTTATTGGTGAACCTATGCCCTAGATCCTTTCATATATTGTTTTCTTCCTATTCTCAACCTTAGTAGTTTAGTTTCTTACTTAATTATAAATATTGGTTACTTAAATAATTTAGATTATAATAATTAATTAGAATTAAAAAGACTTGTTTCCCTGTGGAGTTCGACCCTACTTCCCTATCTACTTTAGTTAGAGATTTAGGTAATTATTTTTGATTAGGGGATACGACTTTACCTTGTCAAAATTTGGCGCCGTTGCCGGAGAAACGGTTTTATTTTTATGTCTGATTGTTTTTGTAGTCTAGATTATCTCTCTTTTGTCTCAGAGAGCGTTAGTTCTCTGAGACAAATCTCATATTTGCTTCTAGTTTTTGTTTATGCCCAAGTGTTCCAGATCAGGTTACAACCTATTCGATCCTGAGATCGAACGATCCTTCTATAGACAGAAAAACTTCTACAAGCAAATCCTGGCGAATTCTGGTGATAATAACAATAATCACCGCGATCCTCCAACTGATTCCAGCGATTTAGAGGCATCATCAGACGCAGAATCAGAAATGACGGCTCCAAAGAAGCTTAGTGACTATTCACAACCAAAGCTTACGGATTTTCCACATCTCACCCCCACTCCGGCTCTTGATGGGGTTCAATTTGAAATTAAACCTTAATTTATAACGATGATAGAGAGGAAGCAATTCAGTGGAGCCAAGGGTGAAGACACGAATCTTCACATTGCCGACTATTTTCAATATTGCAATACCATCAGGCAAGTCGGGGTCACTGAAGACCAAATCAGGGAGATTCTCTTTCCCTTCTCCTTAACTGGAAAAGCTAAATTGTGGTTTAATGGATTAAATAGAACTGACTGGGAAACTCTTGTTTTGAATTTCTATAACAAGTATTATCCTGCAGAGAGAACATCAGTACTACGGAGTGCGATTCAGAACTTTGCCCAAGAAGCCGATGAGTCTTTATATGAGGCTTGGGATAGGTTCAAGGACTTACAAAGAGAATGCCCTCACCATAATTTAGCACAATGGCAGTTAATCCAAGCCATTTATAACGGCGTTGGAAATTCCTCTAGAATAATTTTAGACTCTGCAGCTAGTGGGAGATTTATGAATCTTAATGTTGATGATGCAGTTCAGGTTATTGAAGATATGGCGATACACAATTCCCAATATGGGAATCCCAGAGGATTTGCTAACAAGGGGAAGCATAATGTCGACTCTGTATCCTTTTTGCAAGCTCAATTAACCTTTATTTGCCAAAAATTAGATAACCTGAGCACTGCTAATGTAGCCAATGTTTCTGCGATTAATAATAATTCTAATGAGGCTTTCTGTGAAAATTGTGGTATTATAGGTCATTGGGAGCAGGATTGCAGGAGTTCCGTGGAGCAAGTTAATGCCTTCCAAGCTTATAGGTAGAATAACCCATACTCCAACACTTACAATCCTGGGTATCAGAATCATCCATACGTTTCCTACCGGAGCACTAATGTTCAAAATCCACCACCACAAGAACCACAGGCGCCACAACAACAACAACAGAAATATTATCATCCCAATGCTAGCTAGAAGAACCAGCCACAACAACCCTCCTCATCTTCCGACCCTTCTCTGGTGGAAATTAGAGCAATGTTGGTCAATATGCAAAAGCACATGGAGAGCAGAGATGCAACAATTGATTAAATTCTAGCGCATAATAAAATTGTAGATAATCAAATTGCGCAACTCTCCGCTACTTTACAAGCCCGCCAACAGGGAGCCTTGCCGCCATAGCCTACTAGGCCTACGGATCAAGAATTTTCAATTACTCTAAGGAGTGGTTCAAACTATGAAGGGCCCTCTATGCCCAGAGTTGATGAACCTGTTTTATCAAATAATGCTAATCTTGATTCCATTAAACCAAACAATGTAGTTGATAGCCCTGCAGGGCTAAAGGATAATACTAATATATCTAATTCTACGTTGCAGGGTACAACTCCAGAGAAGGTGGCTACTCCAGACAAGAATAAGAATGCTCCAAAGCCAATCATCAAATTTCCTTTCCCCAATCGTCAATTAAAGACAAACTTGGATAAGCAGTTTGGTAAGTTCCTGGAGGTGGTTAAAGATTTGAAGGTAACAGTTCCCTTTACTGAATTGATCACACAAATCCCCTCATATGAAAAATTTATGAAAGAAATTTTGACGAGAAAAAGGTCTATTAGTGAGGTAGAGACAGTAGCTTTCACTGCAGAGTGTAGTGTCGTACTTCAAAATAAGTCTCCACCTAAATTAAAATATCCGGGTAGTTTTTCTATCCCTTGTCATATTGGAAATCTCTTGATTGATAATGCATTATGTGATTTGGGTGCCAGTGTTAGCGTCATGCCATTATCTGTGTGTTCCAAGTTGAATATGGGTAAGTTAAAAGCTACCAATATAATTCTACAAATGGCCGATCGTTCTTTCAAATACCCCTTAGGTGTTTTAGAGGATGTCCCCGTTAGAGTAGGTAAATTTTATATACCTGTATATTTTGTTGTTCTTGATATGGCTGAGGATATGCAAACCCCAATTATTTTGGGTAGACCATTCCTTAACACTGCAGGAGCAGTCATAGATGTAAGAAGTGGTAAGATAACACTATCAGTAGGGGACGATAAAGTTGTTTTTAATTTGAATAATGCCCCCAAAAGCTCCATGACTGAGGAGAAATGTTTCAGTATTAATGTGGTTGTAAATTATTCTAACAAGCCCCAAGCTCTTGAAAAAGATCCCTTGGAGGCGGTATCCTGTGTTGCATCCTTTTTAGATGAGATAGACAAATGGCAGAAGGAAGTCGATGCAATAGAAAGAGCACTCTACAATGTTGGTCTTGGTTTCGAGGATGAACAAGTGGAACCGATCGAGCAAGTTGTGCGAATCGAGCCTATGGTAAGTGTTCCGCCAGATCGAGTTGCAAGTGTTGAACGCAATGACA